ACAGAAGCTTTGAGAACACGGCAGGTTGTGGCCCCCGTGAATGCTGGCCTTCCACCATGTTGGGTACAGGGAGTTTATTCATTTGGAAGGACTTCTGTAACAAATAGCCACAAGTGGGGTGGCCTCAAACAGCCAAAACTCACCCTCTTTCAGTTCTGGAGCCCAGATCCCTGAAATCAGGGTATCCACAGTGTTGATTCCTTCAGGAGGGTCTGCTCCTTGCCTCCTCTAGCTCTGGTGGCTGCCAGCCACCCTGGTATCTTTGGCATGAGTAGACACGACTCCAGTCTGTGTCTCTGTCGCCACACGGTGGTCTTCCTCATATGAAGGGTCTTCAGAGTGTTACGGAAAGTGTGTGAAGAAAAGAACTATGAAAAAAGCTATGCATGGATTTTAAACATTATTTTTCACCAAAGAAGCTCTTACTTTAATTCCATTCTTCTGCGAAGTCCCATCAAATGTATCTGTGTCCGAATGTCCTTCTTTAAAGACATGAGAGCCAGCCCCATGTTGTCACAGTGACGCGCTGCCCAGGAGGAGCTGGGTCCCATGTGATGGCCGTGGTTTGAATCCCCAGCCTGGACAGCCTGACACACTCTGGGCACACCCGTGAGTGCTTGGGATCTGCTAGGCGGCAGGACAGGAGGAAGGGGACCGCGATGTGACCAGGCCCCGCGGAGTGCGTTCCTCTCTCTCTCTCTTTTGTGTGTGCACATCCACATTCTGTCATGAATAAAGAAGAAAAATAAAGACATCAGTCACTGTCTTAGGCCCCACTATAATCCAATGTCACTTCAAAGACCCTGCTTCCAAATATAGGTCACTTCCCCAAGTCCCAGGTAGACATGAGTTTGTGGAGACGCACTTCAACTCAGTGCAGAGGCCATAAGGGACCAGGAGGACGGGCCGGTGGATCCAGGGAGACAGGTGCACGTGAGAAGCCCGGTAGAGGGAGGGGAACGAGGGCCTGGCCAAGGCTGCAGGGGTAGGTCACAGGTCCTATTACTCCCAATGAATAGACTCAGAGGCCTGGGACAGCCAGGTTCTGACCCCAGGGTGGCTCTCTGCATCCCAGATTGGTGGTGTTCCCATTGCTATAATGCATATCCAAAGACAGGTGACAGAGTGGGCCGTCTCGAGACTTTTTAAATAGGCCATTGGTGTCCGGCCCTCTGGCAGTATTGGCCAGGACAACTGAGGCCAAGAGCCCCTCAGTGCTCAGCACTCGCACCAGCCAGGCCTCGCTCCTGGGCTGTGACAGCGGAGCCTCCCAGCGGTACCGCCAGCGAGACCTCTCTTGCTCCGTGGATAAAGGGCAGCCCATGGAGCAGGAAAAGGGAACCAAGCCTCTTCGGTTCCCCCAGGGACCCTTATCTATGTTGGCGAAAGGTCTGTGGTCAGACGCTTCCGGGTTGGCGTGCAGCCTGACACCTGCCAGCCTCGTGTTCCCCGAGCAAGCAAGTCCCACAGCCTCTGCGCCTCCACGGCCCCTCTGGGGAAGCAGGGTAACCCTTGCACCCTGACCTTCTCAGAAGGCATGGGGTGGGTGATGAACTGAGTTAGAGGTTGTAGCCACCTTGGTGAGCCTTCCCGTGCCTCACACAGTAGGTGCTCAATAAATACCGACTAAGAGCGCGTGTTGGAGCCCAGACAGTCAACTCTGTGCTGCTGATTCAGCCTCAGCGTGGCTTCGTGAGGAGAATCTATTGGCATTTCCTCCCCTGCCCCTGAGCTCACACCTTTGATGACCCTGGGAGGGGTGGGGAGGAGGTAGAACACGTACTTGAAGTGTTGGGGGGAAGATGCTGCCGAGCCGTTCTCACGACCCTCTGAGTAACACTGTACCCAGGTTTGGTGCCCTGGGAGGCACAGTAGTGTGCAAAAGAGCACTGGAAAAGGAGACTGAGTTCTAGCCCCCGCTCTGCCCTGATCAGCCATGTGCAGGTGTGGCGGTGCCCTGTTGATCTTACTTCCTGAGCCACCTCCCTGGCCTGCAGACCTGCCACCACTGCTGTCATTAAGCGGGGCTTGCGCTAACTTCAGCAGCGCATATGCTAAACCTGGGACAATACGGAGAAGACCAGCAAGGCCCCTGCGCAAGGATGACACGCAAATTCCTGAAGCGTTCCGTATTTTTTGTAGCGATAAACCTAACTAAGGAAGTCAAAGACCTTTACAAAGAAAACTATGAAAATCTTTTAAAAGATATTGAAAATGACACAAAACTGTGGAAGGCCATCCCATGTTCCTGGATTGGAAGAATTAGTATAATCAAAATGGCAATTCTACCCAAATTAATCTACATATTTAATGCAATTCCAATCAAAATACCAGAGACATTCTTCACAGATCTAGTAAAAACAATCATAGAATTTGTCTGGAATCATAAAACACCTCGTATTGCCAAAGCAATCCTGTGCAAGAAGAGTGGAGCGTGCAGCTTCACTCCCTGATCCAAAATATATTATAAAGCTATGATTATCAAAACAGCATGGTATTGGCACAAAAACAGACAGGTAGACCAATGGGATAGAATAGAGGCCCCAGAAATAAACCCCAAAACATAAAGCCAACTGATTTTTGACAAAGGATACCAGTCAATCCAGTGGGAAAAGGAAAACCTCTTTAGCAAATGGTGCTGGAAAAACTGGGTATCCATCTGCAGAAAGATGAAACTGAACCCCTGTCTTTCACCATTAACAGAAATCAACTCAAAATGGATCAAAGATCTGAACCTAAGACCTCAAACTATAAAACTACTGGTAAAAAATACTGGGAAACTCTAGGAGACATTAGGGTAGGCAAAGACTTCTTAAATAAGACTCCCAAAGCACAGGCAATAATCTCCAAAATAGACAAGTAGGATTATATCAGATTAAGAAGTTTCTGCACAGAAAAGGACACAATAATTAGTGTGAATAAAATCCTCAGACTGGGAGAATATTTTTGTAAACTATGCCTCAGATTAAGGGACCGATAACCAGAATATACAGGGAACTCAAGGAAAAAAAAATGATGAACCCAATTAAAAGATGGGAAACGAGCTGAACAAAAAACTCTCTAAGGAAGACATATGAGCAGCTGAAAAGCATATGAGGAAATACTCAACATCCCTCATCATAAGGGAGATGCAGATAAAAACCACAATAAGATGCCACCTAACCCCTGTCCGAATGGCAAAGATTAAAAATACAAAAAATAGTTAAGTGTTGGCGGGATGTGGTGAAAAGGGAACTCTCCTACACTGTTGGTAGGAATGTAAATTGGTCTAGCCACTGTGGAGAACAATATGGAGGTCCCTCAAAGACCTACAAATAGAACTACCGTATGATCCAGCAATCCCACTCCTGGGTAGAATCTACCCAAAGGGCAGGAGAATGCTCAGTCGGAAAAGCACTTGCACATCAATGTTTATTGCAGCATTATTCACGATTGCTAAGACATGGAACCAACCCAAATGTCCACGAACAGATGAATGGATTGAAAAAGTGTGGCACATATACTCTATGGAATACTATTCAGCCATGAAAAACAAGACCCTGGCATTCGATAGAAAGTGTTCAAATATGGAAGATTTATTGCTGACTGAAGCAAACCAGGCTATGAAAGAAAGATATTGTGTGTTTCCACTTAATATATACCAACTGCCTGCACTCTACGGTAGAGACTGAAAGATTAGAGGGCATAAATAAAGGCAGTGAAAATAGTTATGATGCTGGAGACCGTATGGAAGGAGGGTGGGAGAAGGGAAGAGTATAGGGAAGGAAATCAGGGAGAAAAAATAGAGGCAAGACATTTGTGGGACCCAGAAGTGGTTTATTACCTATTGATGATAACGTGAATAGTATTCTCAACTGCACTGGCCTGAGGTGTATGTCATGTTGGGTAAATTCTCTTTACAAGCCAAATTATGTATAGCAATTGAATGTTTAAAAAATAGTAAAAATAAAATAAAATTTTTAAAAGGATTTTAAAAAAATAAAACAAGTGGGGCTTGCCTAGCCCTCAGGCCTTTGCATGTGCTGTGCCCTCTGCCTGGGGGCCCACTCCACACCGCTCCTCCGCGCAGAGCCACTTCCTGTTCTGAGGAAGTGCCCCTGCAGCCCCAGGCAGACTGCGGCCACCACACCCTGTGCACAAAGCCCCGTCATGCTGGGCTGTGCTTCTCGGTGATGAGACTCGTGTCTCAAATCAGAGAGCCCCACTGGGACACGGATTGGCCCTCTCTTGTCTGGTAGAAGGTAGGTGCCCAGCCTGTGTTTGTCGAGTGAGCAGAAAATGGAACGTCCTGGACATCAGTTTCCTCCTCCACGCCTCAGTTTCCTCATCTTTAAAATTTAGAATGTGGACCCCCCCGGGGGTCTCTTTGAGGTACCTGGTGAGACGTGGACCCCAGGATCTCTGCTGCTCTCAGGGACAGCGCGGGCAGGTGGCATGACTGCACTAGAGTTTGTTTAATGATTATCTGACATTGACGCAGCCAAGCACACAGACTCAGGGACTTTCTGGGCGTTCAGCATGAAACTCCCAGGCAGTAGATTCCAGTGTCCTTGAAAAAGCAGGTGGAGGCAGCCTCGTGGATTTCTTTAAACTACCCTGCCTTGCCCGCATGCCCCCTGCAGGAATTCTACCTGTGTCAGAACCAAAACTTGACATACACTGCTCCACAGAACTTTCTCTGCACTCCTATGTTGGGGAGGCCCTCTTGATCCTGTGTACAAGGGTTTCTGCTGGGAGCCATCCTCACCGCAGCCCCATCTGTCCACACTCCAGGCTGGCGCCATAGTTCATACCCCACCTCTGCAGTCTCTAGTTGTATGCACCCACACAGCTGAGCCTCAGTTTCCTCATCTGCACAATGGAGATAGTACTGCCCCCCTCACGGATGAACGGGTAGGCACAAATACACAGCGTGGTGTGTGGCATGGCACGGAGCATGTGATTTCGTGGCTGTCCTTCATAGCCTGGGTATTCCTTACTCTGCGGATTAGAGCGGTACAGAGATTGGCAGACTGCGTAAGCCGAGAAGTGTCTGCTGTCTGAAGAATTTTAATTTGGAAAACGAGCCCAGGTGTTAGGTCAGCGCCGCATCCCCCTAGGAACTGCATGTTTGCAGGCTTATTTGGGAAGCATGGTGCCCAATCGTGCCTTTGAGCCTTCCACGTGAGTACCCTGGGGTCGGGCTTTGTGGGGACCCCTTTCCCAGCCAGGCTGCTCGCCGCATGGGCAGTGTGGTTTGCACAGAACGGGCTCTGTCTGGGTATGAACGACTGTTTCTTCCTCTCTCTGGATGCCTGAATGGCAGGCTCCCTCCTGTGGTCTCAGAGGCCAGCCTGAGTGAGAAACTCCAAAACGGACATCAGAATGGGGTCATCCGTTCCTGGTCGGGCTCACGGCTCTCCACGAGGCTCAAAGAGGTGGGCTGCTGGCCGCTGTGACCTGGGAACCTCCCCAGAGTCTCCTGGGTGGTGGTTTATAAAGGCTCTTGAGAAAATAGAAGCATAACAGCGTTTATGGAAAATGCCGGGAATCGGAGCAGCAGCTGAGGTGGAAAAGGATGGTTTGGTATTTCGTGAATCAGGCCCATCGGCTGTGACGCTGCAGCCACAGAGGCAAAGCCCGTCAGAACAGGAGCCACTAGAGGTCAGCGGGTGCCTGCTGTAGGCTGGAGGGCGGGCCGCTCAGTGGTTAGGAATGTAGATTCTGGAGTCACGCTACCTCGGTTCAAATCCCAGTTCCTCCACCTATACTGGGAGCACACCTTGGTGGCTCGGTTTCCTCCTCCTGTGAAACGGTGATGGCAATGCCTTTGTCTCACAGGCCGTTAGGAAGGTGAAGTAAGTAAAACCACGTAAGTACCTAGAGCAACTCTTGGTGCACAGTAAAGTAATAAGGATCAGCCGTGGCCCAGAAAGGGCAAGGGACTTGTCTGTGGTCACCCAGCAAGTCACTGGAGCGTCCAGACCTGAAACATGATTCCCAGTCTTGTGGGCATTTCCCTCTTCCCTGTCTTCCCCCTCAGTCAGACTTTTTCAACCCCGCCTTCTACAAAGGAAGTCGCGTGACCCTTCAGCCCGCAAGAATTCAGGCGGCATGGGCTTTCGGAAACCCCTCCGGCTGGCTGAAGGCCTTGCTGCAGTTCTGCTCAGCTGTTAGTTCCTGCTCACCCCCTCTTTGTTTTCCAGCTCTCTGGGGTCTCTCCTTTTCTGTTCTCCAAAATGGAAAACTTAACCCCTTAGCCAAGGAGTTTGAAGCCCTAAGTCACAGCTGTGTATCTCTGAGTCAACCCCCTTCTCCGAGGCCTGAGTTTCTCTGTGAAATGAAGTGTCCCCTGTAGACAGAGAGCTGTCCCCACCTGCCAGTCCGTGATTGCTGCAGGGACAGGCCAGTTGAGAGGTGCCACCCTGAACACGAATCCCTGCTGATGGTCAGGGCGAGAGCTGATTAAACAAAGACTGGTGACACATTCTTCTAGGCAGTAAGGTGAAACCCACCAGAAATGCTGTCCGCTTCCGCCTACCTCTTGGTTTCAAAGGTTACTTGAGTCAGCAGAGTTGACTGTACTTTTCTCGCTCTCCTGTGTCGTCGCAGTGTGCTGCAGGTGTTCTGAGCCGAGGCCAGGTGGCCGGGAGTGACCCGTCTGCAGCCCCCGAGGGTGGCAGGACTGAGGGGCTTGGGAGTGTCTTGATTCTGCTGGGCACCCCAGCCCCGAGCTTGGAGGCCACCAGCCTCAGGTGTCAATCCTGACTCCCAGGCTGCTGCAGGGGAGAGGGACTTTCCCCCTCCAGCTCTGGTTTCCTCGTCTGTGAGGTGGGCGCACAAGTTCTGCCTCACAGGGGAAGGTGGCGAACCAAGCCTAGCTGCCCGATTGCCTTTGTCCCTCTGCCCAAGAGGCCTGGAGACAGACCCTCCATCTCCAGGGGACAAGCGCCTGGAATACAGGCCTCGTGGCCTTCTGGTGGCAATCTCAGAACCCAGAGATGACGACCTGGAGCAAGGAGGCCATGGAGCCAAGATGACAACTGAGGACCCTGGACCCGAGCTCCCCTTGTCCCCGGTCCTCCCATCCTCTACATGCAACTGGCCTGGCACCATCGAGGGCCAGCCTGGCCAGGCCTGGGAATTCGGAGGTGGTGG